CAGTTTGAATCCACCAGCTGCTGCATGGGAGAAGGATGGGTAATCTCCTCTTGTGTGATTTACTGTCTCTGAAAACCTGCCGAAGGGTTAGCTATGAGTCGATTTTGACTGGCACAAAACCAACCAAACCAACTAAGTTACAACATTGCAGGATTTTATTGAAAAAAATATTAAAATATGTAGGAAGCATCAAAACACAATCGAAATAATATATAGAGTCAACTGTGCCAAAAATAATTGGTTGACACTGAGCCACTTCAGGAAGTCGTATGTGACCAAGAAGCAATAATAATTAAGGAAGAGGTTCAACCTGCACTGTAAACATTGGGGGGGGGGGAATAAGGTCCCAGGAATTGATGAAATACCAATTGTCATGTTTCTACAAACAGATGCAACCCTGGAGGTGTTCACTAGCCAATGCCAAGAAATTTGGGAGACAGTTAATTGGCCAAATACCTGGAATAGATCCATATTTTCACATTCCTGGAAAAAAAAATCCAACAGAATGTTAAAATTACTAAAGAATATCATTAATATCACATGCAAGTAAAGTTTTGTCGAAAATTATTTAAAAATGGCTGGAGCCGACAGGGACTGCCAGAAATTCAGAGGGGTCCATGGAAGGAGAGAGATCATTGCTAGTGGATCTTGGCTAAAAGCAGAGAATAGCAGAAAGATGTTTGTGTTTTATTGACTATGCAAAAGCTTTTGACTGAATCAGAACAAATTATGGATAATATTGAAAAGAAAAGGAATCCCAGACCTTGCACTCAATGGAAACCTGTATATAGATCAAGAAGCAGTCTGAATAAAACAAGGCAATAATACTTCCTGGTTTAAAATCAGAAAAGGTGTGCATTTAAATTGCACCTTTTCTCCATATCTATTCAATTTTTATGTTGAGCAAATCATTGGAGAAGTTGGTCTGTAGGAAGAATAATGTGGCACAGGATTGGAAGAAAATTCATCAGTAACCTGCACTAGGCAGATAAAACAATATTGCTTGCATAAAGCAAAGAAAGCCTGAAGTAATTACTGCAGAAAATAAATAACTAAAATCTTCAATTTGTATGGTATCTTTTTTTTCTTTTGTATGGTATCCTAACATCAAGAAAATAAAAATCTTCACCTCTGGATGAATAAGCAACATCATGATAGATGGACAAAAGATTGAGGTTGTCAACGATTTCATTTTACTTGGATCCACAATCAGACATGCCAACAACAATCAGTAAATCAAAAGACATGTTTCATTGGAAAAATACGCCATCAAGAATGTCTCCAAATGTGCTAAAGAGCAACAATATCAGACTAAGGTGAGCCTGAGCCAAGCCATGATCTTTTCATTTGCTTCCGATGCACCTGAAAGTTGAACAAGTAATAAGTGTGACAGAAAAAGAATCAATGCCTTTACATTTTGGTATTGGGTAAGAATGCTGAACATTCACGGATTGACAAAAGAACAAGTCTTGGAGAAGTACAACTAGGATGTTCTTTAGAGACAAGAATGGTGAAACTTCATGTCACATACTTTGACCATATTGTCAGGAGAGGCCAATTCTTACAAAAGACATTCTGGTGGAGCATCAGAGAATGGAAGACCCTCAACAAAGTGACACAGTGATTGCAACAGTGGGTTTGAGCATGTTGGAGATCAAAAAGATGGTGCAGGATAGGGCAAGTTTCCAATCTGTTGTCTCAGATTATCTCTGAGTTTTAGTAGATTGAAGGCATATAACAAGAAGTCCTGAAACAAGATTCCAAAGAGTGGTTTGAGAGACAAAATACTTGAAGTTAGAAAACTAAAAGGGGAGATAAATATTTATAAAGTGGAAAGAACAGAAAAACATTCAAGGTTTTACTTGCAATACTAATGAATTCTATGAGCAAGATATTGAATAATGCACAAAGCATAAAGGGAAGATAGAAGGAATACAGTCACTTACCAAAAAGAATGTTAACATTCAAAGATTTGAGGAAGTAGCATATAATCAAGAACCAATGGCATGGAAGGAATAAGTCCAAACTACACTGAAGGCATTGGTGGTCTAAGAATTTATGGATTACCAGTTGAGACACTTCAATAAATGCATGCAATTCTAGAAGCATTTACTTGGTAGAGAGTCAATGAAAAGAGAACTCTGGTAGTATAATGGTTAAGGTGTTGACTGCTAACCTGTTAACAGTTTTACACACCTACCCATTGGCTCCACAAGAAAAAGAACTATTGATCTGTTTCTGTAAAGATTACAGGTAAGAAAACCATGTGGTGCAATTCTGTGTCACATGAGATCCTTATCAGTTGGCATCAATGGCAGCGAACAGCAAACAGTCACATACTGAACAAAGATTCTACTCTTTCACTCTACCTTTTGAAGATGGAAGATCTGTGGAGATTCTTTCTTCTCTTTTACGAAAGCTTTCTCCTTCACCAAAGGTCTAGCCCTCATGGAAGAGGCTGCAGCTTTTTTTGGTCTTTTCTCAAAAGCCAAGCTTTCTCTCTCCCTTTGCCTTCCATGCCACCTACAGTAACGTTATACCAAATATTTTCCCAATTACTTGATGCTGATGTTAATATGTGCTGTCAAGTTGCCTGTGACTCTTAGTGACCCTATACAATATACAATAGCTCTGATCTCTCCCTATCTTGAGTAAATTTCATTGTCTCAAACACACCTACCCCCCAATACCCCAGTTAATGTGATAATCCCACTCATTGGGGGTCTTCTTCTCTTGGGCTGTCCCTCTACCTTTCCAACCATGTCCTCCTTCAAAAAAAGGTCCTTGCTGGCAACATGCCCAAAATATATGAGATGGAGCTTCAAAATCCTTCCTTTCAAGGAGCAGCTTGGTTTGACCCTCTCCATGACAGATCTGTTTGTTCTCTTGGCAGTCCACAGTATGTTCAAGACTCTTTTTTTAGTATCACCACTCAAAGTTGTCAATTCTTCTATCACCTTTAGTCATTGTCTAGCTCTCTTGTACATAGCAAGTAATTTTGAAGACCATGTCTTGAATCAGGTGCACTTTAGTCTCTCGACTGACCATTGTATTTCAGTACTCTGGAGAGGTCCCTGATAACAAATTTTCTCAATGCAGTTTGTCTTTTGATATCCTGACTGCTAGTGCCAAGAGTGTTGATTGTGGAACCAAGTAAGCTGAAATTGTAAAGAACCTTAATCTCTTCTCCATCTATCATGATGCTGCCACTTGAACCACTGGTTAGAATCTTTATTTTCTTAATATTTACTTTCAATCCCTATAGAAGACTGTAGTCCTTGACGTTCTACAGCAAACCCAGAGCACATAGTGATATTAAGTGCCATCGATTTGAGAATACACCTCCATAATTTTGAAAGTGGAGGATAGTGCTGACTCATGGCATGAGAGAGAATCAAGGACTACATTTTCCCGGGTTTTGGCACCAAAAAAAGAGGACTACATTTTCAAAGGTGAGGGATAGTGTTTAATTCATGGTTTTTAATCTCTAACTTCTAGAGTAATCATAATTATTTTTTTGAAACTTACCCAAGAGTCTAACAATAATAAGGGTATCATTTCTCTTCTCATAATTAATACCTTTCCATACACTGACATTTAAAAGTCTGTAATAGTTCCAGTTTGTGTCAGCCTTTTAGTCAATATTCAATATATTAGAGATTAAAAATGTTAACTTGAGATTGGTGGATGAAAATAAGTCCCCTTTGTTGATAGTTAAGTACCCATCCAACTGTGCTGCAGAAGAAATCCCTAGCATGTGGGAAGCCAAATATCAGATTTCATAGTAATATTTAACCAAATGCTGCATCAGGAGATGCGGAAGGCGTAGATACAAGCTAGAATTCCCCCTGTAGCACCAAGGCAGACCATGGGCTTCACAGAGGTTAAATGTCAAAGCAGGCCTTTGGTGTTTCCATAATTCTTAGGGAAATTATGGAATTTTATGGAATATTATATGGAATTCTTAGTTTGTATTTACTAAATTCCTCCCTCCTGAGATAAGTACAAGGTAAACAATAGAGAGATTCAGCCTTATTTACAAAAGATTTCTCTTTGTGGTTTACTTTGATGATCCTTTGTTTTGTTTTCTCCCTTGTGATCTTCTTTTATTTATTTCCTAGTGATTCTCAATTAGAACCCAGAAAGGTGTAGCATAGGGAGTGCAGTTTTCCCAGCTGTTAGTCCCCTACCTTCACATTTTCTGGCTTGACCCCCATTCCTAAGTGTCCCCATCTCTGTCTTTTTCTTCGGTCAACAACACTAGCAGACTACTTCTGTCAAAGATTATAGTCAAGAGAGCCCTATGGTGCAGTTCTACTCTGTAATACATCTGGTTGCCATGAGTCAGAATTCACTGCAACAAGTTTGGCTTCAGTCTAAATATCTCTAGATGCTGACAAAGTTGCTCTGGAATCCTATTCTTATGCATATTTAATTAGAACATTGCATAATTCAAAATGAACAATGTGTGATATCATAACACATGGTTCAAGGCCACCAGCTGCACCATAGGATGGACAGTCTCCTCCTGTGCAATTAATTCCTCGGTAAACCCACTGGAAAATCAGCTATGGGTTGGTCCACCACAACAACAACATGCCTATGTTCAGAAATTCTACTCTGCAATCAGTGCTTTGTGAGAACCTGACTTTGCCATCAAATTCTTTTGCTTTTTTACCTTGGGAGAAATGTCACCTTTACTTTTCAGGAATATTGCTTTAGATGTCATGTTAAAAGTAACTGGAAGGGAGCTCTGGTGGCCTAGTGGCAAGAAGCTGCACTACAATCCCAGAGATACATGGTTTGAATCCACCAGATGCTCTGCAGGAGAACGAAGGGCACTCTCCTCCTGTACCAGTCAGATCCGATTTGAAGGTACACACACACAAAATAATAAAAATTTAAAAAGTAACTTGAGGACATAATGAAAATTTAGCACTCAGAAAATTTTGCTTGGCATTATTTGTATAATAATTATATAACCCTGAATTCTTCTACAGGTGCCAAGGAACGTTCTGAGATCTACGAAGCATTTGAAAACATCTATCCTATTCTAAAAGGCTTTAAAAAAGCCTAAGTGTATCATTCAATGTATCACAGTATGCTGATCTGAATATGTACCTCGGCCCAGCAAAGGAATTGCTGGACTCTCTGACCATTAATTGTGCATTATCTATGTACATTTTGAATTAATAAAGTCTATGTGAGTAGCTATGCTTATTGAAATGAAAAGAATATGCTTCTTATTCAAAATGACTCATGCATATTTTTAAAAACTGAACAATTACATTTGTTTCTGAATTTGAGAAATTTAGAACCTTGTTAGCATATTGTAGTACCATTAAAATTCAATATGTACTTATTAAATATGTAGTATATTAATGTGGTCTTGGAAAATAATATAGCCATTTTAAATAGCTACATAAACTAGATATGTAACAAATTCATCAGTCAGAGTAGAAATTAATGAGTCTTTTTGCCTTGCTTAATATTGAGTAAATTATTCTAGCCATTAGTTAATAAGTACAGTAAATAATTTGTCAGAATACAAAAGAAAATGAAATATCTTTTCATTTGTAGCGAGTACAGAAAATTAGTATTTTACTTCTAAATGTTAAATCTTAAGTGATCATTTAGACTTAGTATATATTTCATTTTGAAAACACTATAAGGTATTTTGCTTTTGCCTACTTTTCCAGTTATATAGCTGATAAGACTAAGATAATTACGTTGCCATTGCAAAGGTACACAGTATAAATGCACCAGCTGCTCCATGGGAGAAATATGGGCAAACCCCTCCTATGCAATTTGTTGCCTCTGAAAACCTGCTGGAGGGTCAGCTAAGGGTTGATCCCAACTCTATGGTATGTAACAACAAGAGAATGGAGAAAAATGTTTAAACCTAAAACCAAATAGAATCAGCAAGAAACAATGTTATGCAAGCTTCTTGATCATAACCAAAGACTCGGAGGGATTGAATAGCTGACTTTGTGATTACAGTTTTGGAGACATCAAGACCAACTGGTATAATATTCACAGAAAACCTGTTCTTCATCATACTTTGGTAAGTAGCAAAAAGGCTTGTATGTATAAGGCGCAACTGCTGACCTACCTAAAGAAGAGGAAAGAGAAGTAAAGATGTACTGAGACGTTTTGTCCAAAGAACTTATGGACCACTGAACATAAACTTGCAGGATCCTGAGACCAGAAAAACTAGATGGTGCCCAACTACCACAACTAATCACTCCAGTAAGGATCAGAGTAGAAGATCCTGGACACAATGTGAGGAAATGTGGAACAAGCCCAAAAAATATTTTTAAAAAATCAGAGTTATTGGTCCAATAAAGACTGGTGGAACCCCTGAGACTATGACTCTTACTTTAAAAAAAAAATCCTGGCCTTTGAGTTGGGACCAACTGATTGCTGATCCTCCAGTGAGTTTTGAGAGGCTGTAAATACCAGTGGAAGAGACTAGCCATCTTTCCCCTGAGGAGCAGCCAGTGAATTAAAACTGTTAGAAAGTTACTACCTTGGAATAGCAGTGCAATTCTCTGTGGAATAAAAAAAAAACCAAAAAACAAAAAACCCTGCAAGGAGAGAACATACAGAGCCTGGAAGGATTGCGAATGCACCTCTCCAAGCAACAAATGCTCAGAGCTTTTCTTGGTTCCTTCTGATGGAAAGGAGTGTTTTTCAGGAGTTAAAGGAGGTATAGTATTTGCACAGCTCCAATGGGATGGCTGTAATTCTCCTACCTCCTTCGGGCACACAATCTAAGATGGGTTTGCACTCAGAGGGGCAAGCAAGTCTATGAGGTGGTGATGAGACTCGTTAAGGGATGTTGGTACATGCCTACAAGTCACTCTGGCCTCTGATTCCTGTCCTATGTATTGTATCCTGTTGCTAACCTGATTGTAACTTGTTATCATCGCTAATAAACTCCGTAATTGTGAGCATGTTTCTGTGAAGTCTGTGTAGCTATTGCAATGGATTTTGGACCCAGTTGCATAAGGCCACTATTGTAAAATGGGACTAACATTAGGGTTGAGGGAAGACAGAGGAGGAGAGGAATGATGTCTACTGTATTGAAACAGCTGAAAGAGAGAACTGTTTAAAAGGGATATATTATTGGGCATTATTGTCATGACAGGAGCTGCACAGTGGAGTGGACTTGGGAGAAGGGATTGCATAACAATGAAAGAGTTTTTCTTTTCAAGGAAATGGTCAATTGCGGGGAGGGGATGGGCAGTGAGAAAAGTGCAACAATGAATGAATGGAAACCCTAAGTCTCCATAAACTTTCATTAAAATTAATAAAAAATTTTAAAAAGAGGAAGGAAGCAAGAAGTGCAGTCCACGTCCTCCAGAGCCAGAGATTCCTGCACTAGACAGGGATCTAATGAGAGCAGCAGCAGTCTCCATAGAGAATCAGAACTGACCTGAGACTGGTGGCCTATGGAGACACAGCCAGGGGGTCTTCATCTAAGCTTGCTGGAGGACTGCAGCACTGACCTAAGCTATGAGGTCAAAAGTCAAAGGCCCTGTGAGCACACTTGAGAAAGCTGTCTGGAATGGGGAATTGTTGGCAATCTGAACTTATTTTTTAAAATTTTGTGTGTGTGTGTGTGTGTGTGTGTGTGTGTACGTACCATCAAACATGATCCTATTGGCACAGGAAGAGACTGACCCTCCTTCTCTAGCAGAGTATCTGGTGGATTTGAACAGCTCACCTTTGGGATTGGCCAATCTGAATTTTAACCTTGATATACCCTTATAGCCATGAGTATGATTCTATGATATATGAGTAGCCAATATCATGGATTTCTGATGCAGTAGAGCAATAAGTTTGGTATTGGAATTAGAAATAGGTGCAGGAGGGTAAGAGACCTTTTCTGACCTTATAGGAATTGAGTTTGTATTACGGATGCTGTTGATGAGAGTTATCCTTTGTAGTTAGTAGAGGTCAGATGGCCACCTCCAGGCTGCCTACACACTTTCCCAGCTCCACAATCAACACTCATTGCAACAGAAATAAAGTTGTTGAATTACAAAAAAACTACTGTCGAAGACCTCTCCAGAGGGCTAAAGAACTAGGACGTCAATTTAAAGACCAAAATGCACCGCGGTATTTTCAATTACTTTCGGTGGATCTGAAAGTTGGAGAATGAATAAGGAAGACCAGAGAAGAATCGATGCCTTTGAATTGAGGTGTTCATGAAGAATCTGCCTTGGCGGACGTGTAACCAAGGTGCTCCTCAGATTCAAGAATGGTGAAACTTCATCTCACATGTTGGGCGCCTAGTTAGTGGTTAGTGGAGGAAGAATATAGCGGTTGCCCCCCACCCCGCCCCCCCCTCCGGGCCTGATCACTCCTTGAGAAACCTGGTAAAATCTAAGGCAGCCAGATCAAAGACGAGACCAGGAAATGGATCCTAATAAGACTCTGGGCCTTATCACAGAAACCCAAACCCAAGTTCATTAACCGCCCTAAATTGCAAGAAAAATATCATCTTCCTTAGTCCTCCCTAAAATCCTTATAAGGAGAGGGCGACCTTAACCACCCGCGCGCCATTTTTACTTTTCCGTTTGTGGTCACTTGGTGTCCCTCTGAGGCAATTCAATAAAGGCCTGTTTGTTTATTGGGACCAACTTTTTTCATCTAACAGTCAGGAATGACCAATCATTGGGAAAAGACATAGTGTTGCGAAAGGTATAGGGTTGAAGAAAGGAGAGTCTCAAGGAGGTGGATTAACATACTATCACAGTGGGCTCATGAATGATAGATAACAAATGGTATAGGACAGAGCAAGGTTCCCGTCTGTTGTTCACAGGGTCGCAATGAGTCGTAGTCAACTCCACACCCAAAAACAACATAGCCTACTTTAGCGGGCTAGTGCAATAGACACAAGTGCGTGCTCGTAGGAAGGTCAGGTGTTTGAATGCATCAGGTGCTCGGGTTTAAATGGGCAGTCTCTTCCTGTAAGAGTTATAGCCTCAGAAAACAAGCAGGTTGCCTCGAGTCTAAACGGACTACACGGCAGTGGGTTGATAAAGAGAATGAAAGAAATGCTCTTACTCTGTTCCCAACCTTCCCTGCCCCCCTCCATCCTTGGGGTATTGTAACACAATTTTTTACACAACTTTAGTTAACTAGTGTGGCGTTAACTAGTAGTAGCTTTGGAATGATCTCGGAGATGACAGCATTTCATTTGGCAGACTAACCTCTCCAATAGTATTTTCTCTGCCTGGGGACAAGACGCAGCCGTAAAAGCAAGAGCCTTCCGGCAGGCGCAGAACACCCTCAGATCTCCCTGCCCTGCCGGGAGGCTGGGCGAGGGGCGGGGAAGCGGCCTCCGGACTCTGTCGAGACCCCCGCCCGCCCCAAGCCCCTCCTCCTCGCCCAGGATGCACCTGGTTGAAAACAAAATCCCACGTGACTGTGTCGGCTCTCAGGCCATCATGGCGTCTCCCAGTGGGAAGGGATCCTGTGCGCCGGAGGCTCCTGACTGCGGTTCCCAGCCTCTCCACCCAGACTTGGTGGACTCCGTGGACGACGCCGAGGGGCTGTACGTGGCGGTCGAGCGATGTCCGCTTTGCAACACTACCCGCCGGCGGCTGACCTGCGCCAAGTGTGTCCAGAGCGGCGATTTCGTCTACTTCGACGGCCGTGACCGTGAGAGGTACGGCGGCCGCCACAGCCCTTTTGTTTCCTTTTCGGTGTCGCCTCTGGCCCAGCGACCAGAGGCTGGAGCTTGAGGCACCCTTTTGGCTACCAGAGCCTGATGGCAGGAGGGAACAGTGGGCGCTTGGCTCTGGCGCTTTGCTCCCAGAGGAAAGGGTGGGGGTGGGGGGACAGAAGAGAGAAGGTCGCTGTTTGTCCCCTTTATCGTAGTGGAGTCTAATTCTGCGGTGCCTTTGGATATTCGGGAAAGGGGATAGAGGGATAGATAGCGACCCTCGGAGAAGTCTTCTCTGTTGCTGCTGTGAGTTGCATTACGAGGTCTTTGCAGCTTTCCCATTCAGAAGCTTAGTTTTTGTCTTTTGAAAGCACATTCTTAATTACTCTCTAGAGTAGAGGTTAGAACACATGCAAGTAATTTGATCAGAGGGATTCGTATCTAGTGGTTTTGTCATAGGTGGACAAACCCTGTTAGCCGACTTAATAACTCTAAGGTGTGAGTAAATGAACTATGTCGTTCTCTCTGCCACCAAAGATTGTTTTGGTTGTTAAGAAGTTCGCAGCCGTGTTTTGACTTGATCTTACAACCCAGATTGAATACTGTAATCCCGAAGTTAGAATTGAGTTTAGACTTTGTTTTGAAACTCAGAGGCCCTGAATTGGGGGGGGGGGGGGGAATTGTAGCTGGCTGTAGACTGTCTCAGCAATTTAAGAGTCAGTGTTTTTGCACCCAAAATTTAAAGCACTCCAAGGTAATTAACTAATTTACAACAGCCCAATAAGTTTTTACCCCTAATTTAGCCTATGCAGTCTGTACAGTTAGCATCGTGCCCCAGATCTCACAGTAAGCCTGAGTACTTGAATTAAAATCCTTGGCATCCTGGACGTGTATACCTAGGCACTTAACCACTGCACTGCACACCTACTATATGTTTGGGAATGGTTTGAGTTCTGAGTATTCCTGTGATTATAGATAGGACTCTTCTCTTTTGAGCACATTTGTGTGATGAAATCTTTTAGTTCATTGCTGTATCCTCTTGAAGCACTTGATAACTTTAGGAACTGCCAGTATAGCAAGAAATAACTATTAAATGAAACCAGTTGTTTTAAGAATATTGTTCTGACCCTCCAGCTGGTTTCCAGAGGAGTTAATTGACAAGGGAGAAGAATGCCTTTTTTTCTCCTATAGAGAAGCTGGTGGATTAAAACCAATAGCCTTTGAGTTGGCAGCACAACCTGTTACCACTAAGCCATCACAACTTCCTGTTGTAAGAATACAAATATGAAATGGGAATATCTAGTGAAATTTAAGAAGGGTCTAGTTTGAGATCCTTTTCTCTCTCCATGTTTTCCTAGATTAATTCCCATGGTTTAAATACCTTCATTATACTGCACTAAAATCTCTTTTTCTCCTGTGAATCCCTTCATAGTAAACCTTTCCTTTGTCTCAGGAATAAAAACCTTTTAGTTATCATTGATTTTTCCTCCTTAAGAACACCCTGTCTAGTAATATCTACAAATCCCATCTGCTCTTTAAAACTTATCACAGTGCTGGCCCTTCTCTACCATGTATTCTGATCCATCAGAGAATTATCTCTTACCTCTTACACTTGTGCTGTTATAGTTTATTTACCATATCATACCCAGAGTATGATACTTTTCCCCATTCCAGATCTTCCACTGGTTTCCCTTTTTATGCAAAGTAAAAGTCAAATTCCTTAATTAAAGTTCTATGTTCTCTTTGATCTACCATTTTCTTTTTTAGTTACCCATCTTACTCTGCTTTGTGACTTTGACCTTCTTGCTGTTGTGCAGCAGGGCCTTTGTAGTTTGTTTATTTATTTACCTGGCCAGCAATACTTAGTTTCTCTGAAATCCTTAGGGCAGCCTCCTTTGCTTTTGTTTAGGCTGCTCTGCACACATTAGCCTCTTCCTGATGGTTCATTTAAAGGAAACCCCCTTTCCTCTACAACTTCCTTTATTGTCTCATGATAGTATTAATTTGTCACCCCTCATCCCAGGATGTAATCTCTGTGAGGGCAAGACGTCATATGTTTTGAATATCCCATGGACTGCCAAAGAATAAACATACCTGTCTTGGAGGAAGTGCAACCGGTGTGCTCCTTAGAGCTGGGGATGGTGAAGCTTTGTCACACTTCCTTTGGGCACATTTTCAGGAGGGACAAGTCCTGGAATAAAGACATCATGCTGGCAAAGGTGGAAAGTCAGTGAAAGAGAGGAAGATCCTCAACTTGATAAATTGACACAGTGACTACAGCAGTGGCCTTGCGCATGACAGCATTCCAGAGATTGTGGAGATGATGCAGGACAGGGCAAGGTTCAGATCTATTTTTCATATTACCACTGTGCATCATAGTCAACTTGATGGAACCTAACAACAACAACAACAACAACAACCCAGAATGTATCTTGAATCAGTCTGTTTCTAACCCAGACTACCATCATCTTTCTTCTGCAAAGCTTTTCCTGATCTCCTTTCTTCCACTCATGGAATCACCATGTGGTTGTTGAAATGCTCAGCTGTTAACCAAAAGGTTAGAAGTTGGAGCCAACCCAAATCTGCATTGAATTGAGTCCAAGCTCCACCACTTGCTGTGCGACTTTGAACAAGTTTCTTAACCTCTTCTATTTATATCATTTTTCGTTTTGAAAATAGTGGTTTCAGGTAGTAATTACATAAGAGCATGCATTTAAAGTTCTTAGCACAGTGTCTAGCATTTTGTTAACCACACACAAAAATAAACTCCTGTCATGCTCCCTCTTAGAAACTTCCTCATGGTCATGATTTTCTTTCAGACCTTCAGAAACAAAACTTTGCACCATTAAGCCTTTGCCCCTGCTGATCTCTAGCAAGAACTTTTTAAAAAAAATTACTAATTTCAATGAACATTTACAGAGATTTTTTTGATTTCCATTCATTCATTGTTGCACTTTTCTCCCTGCCCATCCCCCCACCCCCAGTTCGCTCTTCTTGAAAAACAAAAGAAGAACTCTTTCATTGGTACACAATCCATCTCCGCACCCCCCATCCCCAGTATATGCCACTCTGCAACCCTTATTCCAAACTCAGAACCTTTTTTTAAAAATTTTTATTGTGTACCTTCGAATCAGATCTGACTGGCACAGGAGATTGCCCCTCCTTCTCTAGCGGAGTATCTGGTGGATTCGAACCGTGTGCCTTTGTGATTGCAGCACAGCTTCTTGCCACTAGGCCATAAAACTCTCTTGTCAAGAACTTTTAACTCTTAATTGACACCATGTAGTTTGAGTCTCAATTTAAATGTCACTTTCTCAGTGAAATATTTACTGACCTCTCTTGTTAAATTCCGTCTTCTGCCCTCCTCATCTCCACGATTATCTATTGTGACATTCTTTTAGCACTAAATATGGTATGATATACTAAAGATAGGATGTGTGAGGAAGGTCTGCACATATTGGACCCTTCAGTGGTGCAAGCCATTTATGATTGGCCACTAATCTAAAAGTTGGATATTCATATGCGCTCAACAACTCCACAGAAGAAAGGCCTATTGGATTGCTTCTGTAAAGATTACAGCTAAGAAAATAATCGAGTAGTAGTACTCTGTAACATACGGAGTCACCATGAGTCAGAACAACCACAGCAACAGTCGCAGCTAGAATGTAATGGCATGAACTCGGCCTTTATTCTGTCAGGTCAGTAGTGCTTAATCACAGTGGCAGTGGGTAGCACATGGTAGACTAGTGCTGGAGAAATAGCAAAGGCAATGCACCTTTTAAACTGAAGTACAAATTCTTTGCCAAATCTCAATGTTAAGAAGAACTTAAGAAAGAAGGATGTATATAGTAGATTTCTTTTCCTGACGAAGTAGAAACATGAAAAGCAAATACCTAAGCCACTCAAGATACAGCAGTACAAAAAGAGATTTTAGATTATCAGGGATACAAAACCTTCACAGTGGTGGGCTCAGCCAGTTCTGCTTCATTCTTTCCCTTTTCGGCAGTGTTCTTTAAAAAGGTGATTTCTTTAATTTTTTTTTTCTATAACAGCACCCAGTATGATAGACACTGTAGGAGTTAACAGGATGACAGAATCTTTTGAGACCTACCACTACCGTCCTAATAGCCCGAGAATTTTCAGTGTGTTCTCCCTGATGCAGTTATCTGCATAAAGTACTCTGGCAAATTAAAAAGGAATTCAGTAATTTCTACTGACTCCTAATAATCCTGGGATTACATGGGTCATGAGTTGAATCTGAAATATTCTTCAGTTTTTATTCTTTATAACAATCTTTATATTCACTGCCTGCAATTCAGAATCCTTTTCCTTTTAAATTTTAAAAACCAAACCTTTAACTAACTTTGGAAATCCATTAGGGAATAAAATATGGAGCTTTATAGCACAGTTTTAAAACTCTGTTTAATCTCTTGATTTTTTTTAAGTAAATGGACTGAAATAATTGTGCCTACATGGGCCTTGAATTTGAAAATACACATCAAAATTCTTTTTAATGTATCACCACCCCCCCCCCATCTAAAATGTTCTATGAAATCTTTGTAAGGCAAAATTCTGGAAAATCAAGATGGAATTACCATGAACGTATATGGAAAAAATTTTGAGTTTTCTAGCTCAAAGAATAATCTCCCAAATTATACATAGAATAACACTAACATAGCATTCACAGTTGATACTGAGCTTCTCTTACAGTTTCTTTCCACAGATAAAATCAATCTTATTCCTGTGTAGGCCATCAGGTGAGGTCCATGTGTATAGTCATTGCTTGTGTTTCTTATGAAAGGTATTTGCAATGGGATAAATCATTGCTTGTACAGAATTCTAGCATTTTGTTTTCATCTTCATTTCTATCACCAAGTCCATTTTCCCCAATTACTGTGTGGATCACAACAAATGTGGCTAATTTGAGAAGAGTGGAAATCCTAGAACACTTAATTGGCTCATGCAAAACCCCCTATATTTGGACCAGGGACACTCATCAGGGC